TTGTTGTAATGTTAACAAAATTATTTATATATTGTAATTTTGATTAAAATTAGGCCAGCTTAGCTCGCCACCGCCAATTATTTAAATATTTCATTATTCTTCCCATTTAACCATTAGTCTTTAAAATAGATAGGTTCATCGGAGAAAAACTGGAGAAAAATTGAAACCCAGAATTTTTCAACAAGAAATGTTTAGAAAAAACGCCTAACCAATGCCCTTGTTTTGTTTGACGAAACATGGCAGCCAATAGGCAGACGGAGGGACATAGTACCTTGATTTCTTAGCGGTAATTGAATTTAGGGACTTGTTATAAGTTCAAAGCAGTTGACATCTAGAGCTGATAAGCAGTAGCACAGTTAATGTAACTGGCAACAGCATCAACCAAAATAATCCATGGATTTATGTCCAGACGAATTAATCAAATTTGACAAAATCACAGCTGATAAAGCAGAAGTTGGAAATTATGCCCCCCAAATCCTTTTACCAAACAAGTGATACCACATTGCATAAGAATGACTCAAAAAGCAATAAATCAAAAACCTTGGAATTTACGGAAGTCAAGATAAACCACAGACTACTAACTAGGAGTTTATGTAAGATTACAACCTCAAGACTAAATATGAATAGTCTCCTTGTTTAAAACCTTAACAGAGCCGTTTTTGGAACAAAATAAAGTGCAAATGCTTGAAAGAGAACAACACAAGATAGCTTAGATAATTCCAATCTTGTTGGCCACATCCAAGGCATCGTAATCTGGAGTCAACCTTACATAAGCCTTCTTTGTACCATCAGGCCTGAATCATAAGTAAGAAGAATATTGCACGCATCAACCAAAGAACAATGCAAAGGAATATAAACTTGTGAGGAAAACAACAGTTGTCATCAATCATTTACCTGATCAAGGTGTTCACTTTCTTGGCCTGAATATCGTACATCTTCTTCACAGCATCCTTTATCTTCTTCTTATCAGCACGAATGTCCACGATGAAGACCAGAGTGTTGTTGTCTTCAATCTTCTTCATTGCAGACTCCGTAGTGAGGGGAAATTTGAGAATCTGATAGTGATCGAGCTTGTTCCTTGGTGGAGCACTGATACGAGGATACTTGGGGTTCCTATCCTTCTTCAGTGTCTTTGGGCGATGAAATGTAACCTTGGTCCTGATCTTCTTGGCCTTCTTCTTAAAGGCTGGCCCTGACTTCACTGCTTTTGCAGTCTTCAAGGCCTGAGCCTTTGGATCAGCCTTCTTTTCAGCTGCATATTACAAAGTAGTTGCTTAATTGAATTTTTATATTGTGTAAACAAAAGAATAAAACATAACATCACTTTATTGACATGATTCACATAAAACATAACACAATTAGGCGATTATCACTAGTTCGAATTAGAGATTCAAATCCTACAAGAAGAGACTAAATATCCAGAAACAGAAATTCCCATTCCTAATTTCAAGGTTATGATCAAATATTCATTAAGCTTTATCATCTGAACATGAATAGTTAACCATCTAACATTGCATTCAGGCATGCACTTGTACCCAAAAATTTCAATCCATTTGACACAAAACATTCTGTCAAATATTGGGTGTAATTTATTTCGTACTTTTATGTCAATTTTCAGCCATAAAACATGCCGTCAAATAAAAACCAGTTAATTTTCCAGTTTTAAGTATCAATTTTCAGCCAAAATACATACCGTCAACTCAAAACGATAATGAAATTACATAATTAAAAACATCAAGATCTCAGACAAATAAAAACGAAGAAACAATGACAAATCTATTTTACAATCTCATTTCCGGTTTCTTTTAAAAAATCGAATGATTATACTGAAGAACAAAGTCATTTACTTCATGTCTTAATCCATCCGAAACTAAGTAGAAATTATCAAAAACATGAAACAAAAGAGAGCTTCGGTCGCATCTATTGCTATAAGAGGGGATCAACTGATTTTTTACTACAGAAAGAAAAAGGGTAATCGAGTCCATACCTTTTGGAGCCATTAGTCGCTTCGCGGATAAATCCTCACCTGCAAGGAATGCAGAGCGTCAGTACGGAGACATAACGCATTTCTCCGAATGAAAACTGCACGGAGCGCAGAGAGAGAAGTAGAGGTACCTGGAAGTTGGACGCCGTCGAGGAGCCGTTCTAGGGTTTGCAGGAGCTACTATGTCGAAACTAGGGTTTTCGTATTTATAAAGAGAAACTTTGCTGGACTGCCCATTATGTTTCAGCGACTTGAGACAGTAAGTAGATATGGGCTTGGGCTGGAC